CGCCCAGCGTGCCGTTGAGCCGCGCCCACTCGGCCGCGTCCGGCCAGGCGGCGTCGCCCGGCAGCGCCCGGCAGGCCGCCGGCGGGGCCGTGAGGGGAGCCGAGGCGTCGCCAAAGGCGATGGCGGGGAAGGCGGTCGTGTCTGCCGCGCTCAGCTGGGCCGCTTCGTAGGCGAAGTTGACGCCCCGCACGGCGCGCGGGGAGAGCAGGACGAGGCCGTGTGCTATCTTGAACAGCATGTTGTTTGGAGTGTGCCGTAGGGTCCGAGTACTGTGACCGGGTCAGCTTGTTGCTCACGATCTGTCGTTCTCTATCGTCCGCATCCGAAAAGGTTCAAGTCGTGCATAGCTCACTATCCTCTTTCGTCCGACGTGGGCATCTTACGTCGACTAGATATAGACAGCGTTCGCTTCTGGGCCAGGCTTTTGAGTTAAGAGGTCGGAAACAAGTGGTGGCAGCAGACCAAAAGGCGCCCGCCCGCATCTTGACATACCACCACCGTCCACTATGGTCCTGGGGAATCTGCGCGCGTCCTGTATTCGGACTGGGACGGGACGGCAGTTCATTTCGGGCCCTGCTCAACCGCTGATCCATCCTCTTCTGTATGGGATGGTGCGCGGGCACTTGCACATGCGCCGCAAGAACAAAATCGACTGTAGCGGCCGAGATCAACCAAGGTAGGCGTGGGTAGCAACGAGAGGCACCCGTCAAGCATGGCTTTGCATGTATTGGATGCAGCAGGGGTTACATTGACAGGCGGGCTATTAATAACCCAAGTGCAGGCGCGGCCGTGGCTGATGTCCTCCTGCAGCCGCCCGCCGCTGACACCCATGAATTGCATCACGCGGGCCGCCCTGGGCCCATGTCCCTCATCCGTGGAACGGCACCGGATGGGGAAGGAGGAAAGGGCAAGGGCAGGTGCTCGACGAGGCCGCTCCGTGTATTTGTACGAGGCATTACTTCGCACCTTGTACGCTCTGGCCGCCTGCTCCAGCTGGCCACGGACCAGAGTGCGGAGAACTAGACATTATTGGCAACTGCCGTGTGGGTGTACGATACGAGAGGCCGTGGGCATTTCTCCAGTGTTGCGTCGGGCGCAAAACATGCACCTAAACAGGACCGCGGCGCCTCACAGCCAGTACTTGGCCCAGGCGGCATACTCTTCGCGGGAACCCCGAAAAGCGAACTCAATCTCGAGAATATCCTGGAAGCCCTCGCTCAGCTCGGGTGCTTTGAAGCGCGACCCAAAGGTGTTGAAGGCAATAGTGGGCAGACTCCCCCTTGCTTCGGGGTTGAGCTTGAGCTGGGGTGTCAGGTCGAGGTTTTCGGAAAATAAAAATAAGGTGCGGGTGCATGTGGGGATGGCAGAGGCGCCGGGGGTGGGGGGCAACGAACCATGGCGTTCATGGATCTGACGGCATCGTTGTGCTGCGCTAGGGCCATGGGTGTTTTGAACCAGACGCATCGGATCGGCACCCCCCGCTTCCTGGCTAGCGCGACCCACTGCGCCCTGGTCTCAGGGTCGGGATTCGTGCTATCAACCGCGACAGAGCGGCCTTCCTGGACCAGGTCTGAGGCGGCAGCGAGGCATTTCTCCTTGCTGTTAACACTGTTAGCGTGCTACGCGTGCCTGGTATTTCAGGAGGCCGTAGAAGGAAACTGACGTTTTCAGCTTGTCCTGATTGACCCTCTCATACCCAAGGCCCTCAAGGTGCTTCCAGTAAAACGTGCTCTTCCCTGCCCCAGGCGGCCCGCAGAAAAGCACAATGTCCTTGTCGTTCTTGCGCTCGAACAGACACCCCTCGGCTTCCTTGCCGCCCTCGGACGCATCCTTGGGGAAGTAGTGGTGGGCGAGGTCGAATTCGCGGGCAAATTGGCGCGGCTCTTCGCCGAGAAAGTACTCCTCAGGGGTCTGGTAAGGGATGCCGATGTTGTGGGCGAGGTTTCGGTCCGAGCAGCTAAAGTCCTTGGGCAGGGGCTTGGCGCCCTTGACGAGCTGCGCGGTCCGGCCGCCCGCGTCGCCTACGAAGATGCTGTGCTCCAGATCGACGTCGGCAAGGTCTAGGCGGTGGTCTTCCAGCATTTCGGTCCACATGCCGATGCGCGGCTTGCGGAACACGTCCCTGGCCGTGGCGGCGTAAAGAGTGATGGGTAGGTTGAGCTGTGCGAACACCGAGCTACACTTTTGCTTGAATTGATCCAGCTTCACCCCGGCGCCTTTGGCCGGTCCCTTGGCCTTGGGGTCTGGGTGGAGTGTTAGGCCGGCCTGGTTTGACAAGATGACGACTCGGTATCTAGGGTGGGCGGGAGGCCGGGACAGTCAGCTGGGCCCCCTGAAAGCCAACCGCCGATATCTTTTGGGACGCACCCATCGTTGTACAAGCTTTGCAGCTTGGACGGGACCGAACGATGCCACCACTTCCAGTCGTTAGGGCCGCTGGCAAACTTCTTGCCCGAGGCGGTGGTGATCAGGGTCGAGTCGAGGTCGAAAGCGGCGATCTTGCGGCGCTTCGAGCGAGGCTCGTTGTCGGGGGTGCCCTCCGGAACGTATCGTGCCACCAGTAGCGTGGCGACGGCCTTGTCGCTGTCGGCGGTCGGGGCGCGGTCGGACCAGGCCGTGCGGTCCTTTGGTTTCTGGGATGCGGGGGTGAAGAAGGAGGCGACCGCGCCCTCTTGGGTCAAATATTAGCATCCCACCCTGCTCTTCGGCAGCAGTAGACTCACTAGATATTGTGGTTTGGGCCTTGCGCTTTATGGGTGGCGGGGAGACTGTGGTGTTGCTGGCACGGCGCTTTGCGGGGCCCGGAGAGGGCATCTTGACGAAGGCAGCGGGGGGATGCAAGATCCGTAGCTGTCGGCGGGCATGAACTAGCATCAAAAAGCCGACCGGGTGGTAGGAAGGCAGCACAAGTAGGTGTCCTAGTGCTGACGGCGGCAGGGTGTTGGTTTGGCGGGGATGATGGTCAATTCCGGCTGGAACCCAGACCGCGCTGCAGCTGGCGTCGCGCTGTTGAGCTAGCTGACACGAGGCCACGTGATCTACCATGTTTGATTGACGAAGCGGGATGTGGGGCTCGGCAACTGGCGGCAAGCGGAGATAATGGATCCCCGCATCAGCGACAGGATTCCACTTGCCCCGATGGAGCTTTTGGTGGTACCATGGAAGAAGTTGACAAGCCAGCCCTGGAGCCCCCATTCGGGCCGTTCTCACGTAATGGTGGCTAGTGCTGTTGCAGGTGTTTGTGATGGAGCAACTGCCGGCTGTTACGTTGCACCTGCAAAGGCCAGGAGCGCCCAACTTGAACGTGCCAACCGCGAGCCGACCCTATTCGATATATGCTGTGTGGTAGGCTACAGCAGCTGCTCGCAGAACATAGATGACCCTAATTCCCTCGATCTAATGGGGTGGATGACGTGGTGGCTCCCGCTGCCAGCGACGCGCCTGTCTTGGGGTTGTTGGATGGAAACCAAGTGCATGGCATCGACACGCCGAGAACCAACCAACCACCTGCCCGATTCCTTCGGCCTGATCACCCTTCAGACTTTCCCACTTTGGACTTGGGCCGTGGTGCCAACCCCTTCCTCCCCTCGGCGCTACCGCGGTGGAGGGCATGCACATCTGAGGTATCACTGCCTCCCAAGACTTGCTTTCTCCCTGCCACCCCCCTGCCTCCTCCCCAACTTCTCCGCACAGAGATCTCGTGGCCTACAGCCCCTGCCCCAAACTGTCAAATCAGGGCTGCACCGTGCCGGTCAACCACCCGTCATCTGAACAACAAAGGATCCGACACTTGTTGACAGTATGTCGCACAGTGTGAGATACCGGCCTTCTGGAACCGGGCTCGAGCTTGTCATTTAGGCCTGGTCTCGTCCAAGCCAAGGCTGGAGCGCTCCTTCATCCCATTTCGCCATGGCTTCCGAGAGGTGGACGCCCCCGGGTCATCTGATGTTGGCCACGTCCCCGCTCTGGTCTTGTTTATAAAAAGTCGCATCGGCCATTCGCTCTCCCGCTCGCTCCCCATTGTCCCGGTCCCCTTCATCTCAACCGATGTGCCAACACCTACGCGAGCCCCAAGACCGGCCTGATCAGCCAAAATGTACGAGGTTGGCAACGTCTACGTGATCGCCGCCGTCTCGGTGATTGGTACGTCCTTGCCTGTCTCCCCCTCCCCTCCTTGCTCCAGGCTTCCGTGCACTCTGCTGACCCTTGGGCCAGGCGGTGCCTTGTTTGGCTTCGACATCTCGTCCATGAGTGGCGTCATCACGCAGCAATCCTACGCGTGCAAGTTCAACGAGGAGGTATCATTGTGCCCGCCGATGCCCTCTCCTGCGTTGTGAATTGGCACTCAGCTCTTCTTTGCGGGACGCCTAGGGATTTAAAGCCAATGGCGAATGCAGAGGTCCCAGCCCAACCACGCAGGGCGGCATTGTGGCCGCCATGCCAGGTGGCTCTCTCATTGGAGCCATGACTTCGGGTTTTATCTCGGACAAATGGGGGCGCAAGACGGCTATCCAGGTTGGCGCCGTAATTTGGTACGTCTAGGGCGAGGCCGACACATGGCCACCCGTCTGCATTAGCCTGCCCATTTCTGACAGGCAGGGCTTTCTTCCGAGTTAGGTGCGTTGGCTGCATCATCACGGCCGCCTCCCAGAACATCCCCATGCTCGCCGTCGGGCGATTCATCAATGGCTTTTCGGTCGGCATTTGCTCAGCTCAGGTCCCCGTCTACATTTCCGAGATCGCCAAGCCCACGGTGCGCGGTCGGCTCATCGGCTTCCAGCAGTGGGCCATTACCTGGGGGTAACTAAGAGCATTTACCCTTGTGTGCCTTCCCTGTTCCAGTCACGGAGCGTTTACTAACTGGTGTCAAAAGAATCGCCATAATGTTCTTCATTTGCTACGGTTCCTCGTTTCTCGAGGGCGAGATCTCTTTCCGGCTGCCATGGGGCGTCCAGGCGGCTCCCGCCGTCATCCTCTTCTTTGGGCTCATGATCCTCCCCGAGTCGCCCCGCTGGCTCGCCAAGCATGATCTCTGGGACCGTGCCGCAGCGGTCCTGGCCAAGACGCACGGCGGCGGCGACCCAAACCACCCGTTCGCCGTCAAGGAGCTGAACGACATCCGAGAGGTCGTCGAGTTCGAGCGGAGCAATGCCGACGTTGCCTACGTCGAGCTCTTCAAGCCAAAGATGATCAACCGGACCATGATTGGCGTTTGGACACAGATCTGGTCGCAGCTGACTGGCATGAACGTCATGGTGAGTTTTCTGATGATGCCTGGCTCGGCCCCGGACTAACATTGGCTGTGCCACCAACAGATGTATTACATTGCGTGAGTAGTCGACTCCGGGCGACATGGGCTGGCCAGACACCTTTCGTCACAAGTTCTGGGCGACGCTTTTTCCCCTCCCCCGCTTCCAGAAGTGACGCTTTGGGCTCAAGACGACTAACTCCACGCTAGATATGTGTTCACCATGGTGGGCCAGGAAGATGTACTGTTGTCGTCCGGGATCCAGTTTATTCTCAACGTTCTCATGACCGTGCCGGCGCTGTAAGACACTACCACCCAGTCCTCGGGATGAAGCACCTCGGAGACTAACGAGGTTAAAATGCGGGCAGGATCTGGATGGACCGCTGGGGCCGCCGGCCGATGCTCCTCATCGGCGCGGCCCTCATGTGTCTGTGGCTCTGCATCAACGCGGGCCTTTTCGCATCCTACAGCCGACCGCCGCGCGAGGGCGAATTCAACTCGGATGCCATCTCGATGGCGGTGACGAATGGTAGGTTCCCAGCCCCGGTCCCTTGCTCTTTGCCTGCCCCCTGCTGCTTCCCGGCCGCTGACGGAGAGATGTGGTCCCCGCGCGGCGACAGACTCGGCGGCCAAGGCCATCATCGCGTCGACGTACCTCTTTGTCGCCTCGTTCGCCACGACGTGGGGCCCCGTGTCGTGGGCGTACCCGCCCGAGCTGTACCCGCTGCGGCTGCGCGGCAAGGCGGTGGCGCTGTGCACGGCGTCCAACTGGACCTTCAACTTTGCCTTGGCCTACTTTGTGCCGCCGGCCATGGCCAACATCACGTGGCGCACCTACGTCCTCTTTGCCGTCTTCTGCTTCGCCATGTTCTGGCACGTCTTCTTTCTCTTCCCCGAGACGGCCAACAAGCCGCTTGAGGAAGTGGACGACATCTTTGACGACTCTCGCCCGGGCGCCGTCCGCTACATCGGCACCCCGGCCTGGAGGACGCGCAACGTCCGCGCCGAGGTGGCGCGCGTCGAGCGCAGCGAGGTGGACGTCGAGGAGAAGCTGGCCGACAACCGCGACAGCGTGGGAGGGCGGGCCGACGCCAGGCCGGCCCCGGCGGCGGGCACCGTCGCGTGATGGTGGTATTGTGGGCGGTGATTGCTTTGGGAGGTCGTCTGGGGTGGGGTGTGTTGCCTGTCGTGGTGTCTACAAGAATTTGCGTGATTGGATTTTGCTATGCTCAAATAGGGGACGATGCCTAGGTACCCCCGGTGAGGGGTGTGATGAGGAAATTAATCAAGGGTCGCTGTGGTTTCGTTGTCTTGAAGCTGCAGTGCTTGACCTTTCGGCGGGACTATTCATTGGATCAGGGGTAACGTGATGACGCAGAATGGATACGCGATCGTGATGCATTATCCGCAAATTTTTGGCCTAATTGTATGTGCTCTTGGATACCTAGTAGGCAAGTAGGAGATACCCAGAACGGCCGCCAAGCTAAAATATTTACAATGAATTTCGCGACAAGGGATGCGCGTTTCAAAAACAGGGAAATGTGGAAAAAAAAAAGGGATCGAATATGCCCGACGGAAGAGGGGCAATGGGTATGTGTACGAGAAGGAAAGATATTGAGTAAGCAGCGGGAGAAGAAAAAAAAGAGAAGTGGCCGCCTGACTTGTATGTAAATGGCAAGGCTGTTGACGAAAGTAACCGCTTAGATAGGCTGGTAGGTTGGTAGGCACCTAGGTGCTCAGGCAGTAGGTATGGACGTGGACGATATAAGGCACAGGGTCGGCTGTGACGGCAGGTGGCGCGCTCTAGCTGGAGTAGTGCGCCACATAGCCAACCTCCATCATGGCGCCGTAGCCATCCTGGGTGTTTCCGTTGGGGTAGCCGGGCCCTGGAAAAAGAATGGTTCTGTTAGTGAATGGCGCGTGGTAATGGACAAGATGGGGCAAGTGAAGAAGAAAAGAAAAACTAACAATCACCGCCGATGGCGACGTTGAAGATTATATAAAGCGGGCTGTGGGCCAGCGAGGTCCAGACGCGCTCGTTGTTGATGCGGGCGCCCGAGATCTGGTGGAACTGGCGGCCGTCCATGTACCAGGTGATGGTCTCGTCGCGCCAGCTCTGCTTGCCGCGGCGGTCGACCTCGAGGCGCCACGTGTGCCAGTCCTGGTTGGGCAGCGGCACGGTGGCGCCGATGCCGAGCCCCTCGTTGCAGACGCCGCCCGGGTAGACGTCGCAGTGGGTGGTGCCGTGGCCCGACAGGACGCCGTTGACCGTCTCCATGATGTCGAGCTCGCCGCACGCGGGCCAGGGGGTGCCGTGGCGCATCGAATCGCCCAGCATCCAGAAGGCGGGCCATACCCCCTGCTTTTGCGACACGTCGTTGGGGCCGAAGCGGAGCTGCGCCTCGACGCGCGTTAGCTTGTCCGACCCGGGCGTGAGCGTGTACTTGCTCTCCACACGGCCCGAGGTCCAGCCGCCGTCGACCGAGGCGTCCTTCCACGGCACGAGCTGCAGGCTGCCGCCGCCGGACCGCTGGGCGTTGCGCGCGCTGCGCCGATACGTCTGCAGCTCGTTGTTGACGTTGAGCTTGGTGTTGAGCACGTTCCAGCGTGACTCGTCGGGCAGGCTGCCGCCGGCGCCTGCGAAGGTGTCCTGCCACACCCGCGTCATGCCGTCGTAGCTGGGGGACTCCCAGGCCGCGGCGAGGACGGGGGCGAGGGCGATAAGGATCGCCTTGGTGATCTGCATTGTGCGGGATTTTCCTCTTGTATTCTTTTCTTCGCTCTTGTCTTTTTTCCTGTCTCTTTCTTTATTATCTGGCTTTGGGGGTTACGCGCCGGCAGTTGGTCCGTACGTGGGTCGTGGAAAAAGGCCGGCTAAGGAATGTGGTCGAGGGTGCTTTAAAGGAGCGTGGGCCGCGTACAGCTTGGTACAGGCAGGCAGAAGGGTTGAAAGCAAGGAGTGAAGTGCTAAGGAGTGTGTGAACGACCAAAGTCGAAAAAAAGGCCTAAGAAATAGGGAAGGCCGATGCAACCACCTCTCAGCTTGCAGGCAAGCAAAACAGGAGAAACGAGAGTGGTGAAAGAAGTCGCGGGGTTAAAAGTTGAGCAGAAGCAATAGGTGAGAGCGGAGGGATCGGCGGCCATAGTATACTTATACACGACCACACGAGGTGCTGGCAACAAAGAAGAGCGTGAAGACCACATGACAGGATGCCCAGGAAGGAGGCAGCACGCGCCTTGGGAGCCCCAAAGCGCCCATGCGGCCAACGCACGCAACCCCTGAGCGGGCCCAGAACGCAGACGTGTGCGGCGGGAGAGGGAGGGCACAGGGTGAGAGGGCAGCATTCCAAAACGGAAGGTCACCTCGGTCGCCGATTGGGGCAGCTTGACCCGTGGTGGTGGAATGGCAGCCATGGCATGGAGCGTGAGCACGCTTGTCCGCATGGGGCGGCTGTCGACGGGCGGTGCTCGGCCTAGCGAGAAACATGGGCGGACGGGGACGTGCGCCGCATGCGTCGGAGAAGCTTCCAACGAGAGACAGACAGAAACAGCGCTGTGAAGGGATGCATCTCGGGAGTTGCGCTGTTCGCGCAGCTCTGCTCGGCAACAGGGACGGGCAGCTCCTGGGCGCCTGGGCCCCCGTGGGCTTGGTGCCTGCCAGCCCACCTGGTAGACGGCGAGCCGAGGACAGGGTAGGCGGGCCTGGGCTCATTGCCGTTATATGACGGGTGCAGGGCGGCTGGGGCGAATCAGGGCCGGAGTTGAGGTCAAGATGCGGCTCAGGTGGCGCCGCGCTGGAGTGCCGGGAGCTGGGCTGCCCCGGGGCTCCTGATTGGGCTGCTTGGCTGCAGCGGCACTGGTGATTGGCACCTGGGGGCCTGTCGCAAGGGCGCATGAAACAGAGCACATCCCCTGGGCCCCTGGGCTAGCGCCGGCTCGCCAACAGCGGGCGAAACGAAACACCAGACGCACGCACGCAGATCAGATGGGGCTGGAATGCCGCGCGCGCGCGAAAGCGTATGTGGCGGGGCAAAGTCTGCGTTGCGTCTTGTGCGTGGCGATAACGCAAGCGGGCGGGCGGGTGAAGAGGGCGTACAATTAATTGAGAGCACGCAGGAGAGCTGGTCGTCTTTGCTAGTGTAGCAGCAGATCCTAGGTGTCCCCCTGCAGGCACGATCGATCGGGCTGGTGCTCCACGCCACCCGCTGGAGGAAATGCTCCAGGAGCGGGGCTGCGAGCCAATGAGGGCCCAGAACAGCGGGCCCGGCTCAGATGCTCCAAGATTGGCCCACCACCAAGACAACTTTGGGCATGGGCTCCAGCAGCGTAGCTTGCAGCTCAATGCGGACGGGGCAACGCCTATTTCGACCTCCAGCCAGCCACCTGCCTATGTAGGCAGGTAGTAGGGAGGTGCCAGCTACCGAGCGACGAGGCCAAGACGGAGGGGACACTTAATTTATTTCCGGCGCAGTTGCTTTTGCGGCACTTGATCCCGCATGATGCTTCAAGCACTCGCTAATCTGGAGGACTCCTAATCTGCCTTTCTCCCCCAATCAGGCACCCCCAAACCACACCCAGAGTAGCACCCACGAAGCGCATCCCCCACCGCCGCCGAGCCCGCCGTGCGATAATGTCGGCCGTCTTCTCCTTTACAGCGTACACGGTCGCGTTTATGTGGGCGCCTGGCGGCACGGGGCCGACGCTGGCGTCCAAAAACACCGAGGCCCGTGACGCCCAGCGATACGCCGCCGACTGGTTGCCTGACAGTCGCGCCAGGACGGCGAATTGCGCCTGGTAGCCCGCCGGCCGCCGACGCGGGGAAGTCGTCATCGTAGGAGCCGCTGGCTACCCGCGCCTCGATCCGCGCCATGGCCGTCCCCGGTGGTTGGTTTTCTAGGTACAGTGTACAGTGTCGGCAGGTCAACATGCGGCGCGCTGTGGCCCGTCGCGAGCGTGCAGGGTCACCGCGCCCGCTGCTTCCCATAGCTGGCCATGGCCTGGTCGCGCGAGCTGGCGTTTGTCGCCCGAGTCTCGGCGTCGGGCGCTATGGGACCACGGTGACAAGGCAGATAGTCGCGCGAGAATTGGCAATCAGGGGTCAGCTGGCGTCCGCTGTTCCTTGGAAGAAATAGTAAAACGAGGAGACCAGGTGGTGGAAGGGGGAGTCCCCCAAACGTGACTTCGTATGTTAGCTACCATGGTCGCCAAAGCTCTGCGTCCGGCCGCCGTTGTTAGTTAGCATTGACCCGCCCTCACAAAAGCGCAGGCAAGCCACAGCTGCCCCACACCTCCGCGCCCGCCTTGTCGAGGACGCCCCCGGTGCCAATGACGTTGCGGTGCGGAGTCGGCAGCTTGTTGGGCGCCCCGGCCGCGACGATGACCACCTGCGCCGCCATGACCCACGTCGTGGCTGCGCTTGTCTCAGTTCTAACCTCGATTCTGGGCGTTTCAGCGCCGCCCTCCCGCCCACCACTGCGCCGTCGCAATACCACACCCAGGCGGCCGGTGCAAGATGAGGAGGTTCAGCGATTGACCGGGCGTGGAGCTTCCCCTTTAGCACGTGTGGTGCATCGCATTGGGATTGCAACAGAGGCCCCGTTTGGGCGGGCACCGGGGCGGGCAAATGAGCAGCAGCATGGGCGCCCAAAAGAAAACGTGGCGGAAAAGGAAAGAATTTGCAAAACCCTATCGACTATCCAAAGGAGGAATGGAGGACAAAGGATGTAGTAAATGGACAAAAGGAAACACACGAAGCCAACAAAAAACGAGCCAAAGGACAACACACGAAGCCAACGAGCCAACAAGATCCATGCCAAAACGCGCGCCGCAAGTAGACGAGAACCGAGCGCCCGCTACTTTTGGGTGACAGATATGATACCCTCGAGAAGGCGGCCGCTCTCCGGCATGAGCTCAATCTTCCGCGCCAGCGCCAGGCCGGCTGCCACGCAAAGCTGTGGCTGCGGGTAGGAAACGAACTCGGTGTGCCGAGTCACTTCGCCCAAGTCCGGACGCTTGGCCCCCACCTCGAGCTTGCGTGTCTCGTCAATCTCCAGCCTTAGCCCTTGCTTAACACGCTGCTGGACATACTTCGAGGCCCCCATGCCCCCGGCAAAAACGACAAAGTCGATGGTGTCGACGGCGCCGACGGCGGCGCCCTGCCGGCCCATCAAAGCCTTCCACAAGTCCGACTGCGATGGGTTCTGGGCCCACAGGTCGTCCCGCATGTTCAAGACCTGGGCCAAGATGGACTTGGCCGCGTACTTTCCCGGCCCGCTGCCTGCCAGCTGTTGCTCGAACAGTTGCTCGAACACGGCACTGGAGATGGCCATATTAGCCGGCTAGCCGAGTGACCGCCTCGGTGATGCATCATTGGAGCGGATTGGGGGTTCAATCATCGTCGCACGTACCCGTCCACACTAAGCGTGTTATCGACGATGCTCATACCATCCTGCCTGGCCACGCTGACGGACGCACCAGACTCCAGGCCTGTTAGCAGGGTGCCGGAGTATTCACCCCCTGCTGTATTCGACGAGTAACCGGCCTTGACTTTGAAGTATTCGGCACTTTGACAGACTTCCTGAGCGGCATGTTGAGGCGTAATGCCCTCGCACCACGGAAGGGCAAGTGGCTCAAGGTACCGGACCAGTCTCTCGATGAAGTCTTTGTCGAGGTGGCTGCCTCCGACCTCCTTGCTCATTATCGGGACCATGAAGTTGGCCTTGATCCCAACGTGGGTCTCGGCCCCGTCTTTGGACTTGGACCCGGACTTGTTCTGGTCCACAGCCGCCAGCATGGCCAAATCCTAAGTTGGGAGCAACTGTTAGCCTCAACCTATTGCTGTCTAAGGACTCTATAGGCGCTCACCGTAGTTCCCGACCCTATGTCGATGATGAGGCAAGTCTTCCCGACCTGCAGCCACACAAGGGTTTCCTTTACGTTAGCCTTCGGTCAAGCTCTCTGATGCGGCGATGGGGTAACAAGGAGGGGTGGACTTACTTTGTCAAACGGGCTGAGCATGTTTATCGCGCACGCTCCCACAGCCTCGGCCTCGGTGAGGGCGATGTCGTGGATAGTGTGCTTCCGAGGGGATTTGTCACCATGACCAGCCGCTTGGCAGAGAGCCTCGCGGGCAATTTTGACAAGTTTCTCCCGGCCTTCCTTGTCCACGAGGCTGGGCACACTGAACTGAAAGTCTATGGCGGCGGTCCCCCAGGGGGATGCGGCGATGCCACTGCTGGTATCGATTTTGTTGGCCTCGTAGAACTCCTTGAGCCTCTTGAACGCCTCCCACAGGAAAGCTTTGAGGACGCCCGCGGCATCTCTCGTGGAGTTTCCTCGAACGGACCAAATAGTCGTCTCATCAAGCTTCGTCTTGAGAGCCGCGAACTTGAAATGGCGGAATATGTCGGTGGTCGGGTCGTTTTCGTCGTTTTTCGAGATCTTGCCCACAATATTGTGTCCCCTTTATAGGCAACCGCCGTTGGGAGTGCGTGGTCCGGGTAGCAACCCGGCTAGTTGACGGTTTGGAGCTTAGGTTTGTCACTGGACTTCGGGAAACAGGATACGACTTTGAGGTTTAAATTTCCGCCATTAGCCAGTCGAGAAGCATGTTAGCATAGCAAACATTCGGTGGGGGCATAGCAGAACGAGCAGCAATTGTGCTAGCTGGAATAATGGAGAATGATGTTCGTACATCCATGGCCAAAGTCGATAAGTCAGTGCACCCCCTGTCCGCACACTTTGTAAGCCCACAACATGGAATCTTTTAAAATACTCCCGCCCTTTTATTTTTATCAATTTTAATCCGTTTTTTTTACTTTTTTTTGCATTTTAATGCCCAAATGCCGGAAAAGCAACATATAAAAAAAAACGTTAAGCGAGCCTTTGCTGCGGTGCAAGCGAAAGGCGGAATCCAATTAACTGCTTATTTTTATAAAATATTATTATTAACTTTTAAAACCCGGATAAAAAGCGTTTTACTTATCCGGTAATTACAAAAATTATATTAACGAATATTTTTTAAATAAAAAAGCGTTTGGTTAATTGGATTTTATTACAAAACTTTTTAAGCTTTTTACTAACGCACGCGGAAATCCGGTTTTTTGCAAAAAAAAATATTTTGGTTTGGGGGTAATTTTTAACTTTTTAAAAAGCATTAAATTCGTGCTTTTTTAAACCGATGTCCGGAAATCCAAACCGCAAAATTAAAATGCATAAAAAAACGTACGCGTTTAAAAAGTTATTATTGCAACGATAACAAAATGGTGGCAGCGCTTGCAAATACTGAAAATGGCCCGGATTAAGCTGGAAAATACGTACAACGTTAATAAAAAAGGGTTGTAAAATGGTAAAACCGGTAACGGGCTTATTTTAAGCCTTGTTAGCACTTGGCCTTTATAACGTAAAAAGCTTGGGTTTCGCACGTAAACTTCGTTTATTAAATGCATTTTAGCTACGTGGGTATTGCTATTTCCTTTTATTATTTTTAAAGGAAAAAGCGTGCAAAAAGGATGGTTTTATGCAAATTTAAACCTTTTCCAAAAGTAAAAATTTACCGTTACAAATAACGGCTAAACCACGGATTTTACGGGTTTAAAATGGCTGCAAAAGGTGTTTTTTTTACGCATTTTAACCCTTTACCTTTAAGCCCCATTTTTTTATCTTAAATACGCACGAATCGCACGTTACAAAAAAATTTATAGCTTTTTACTTACAAAATAACGTTTTCCTTTTATATTTGCCCGTTTATACCTTTTACGTATTGCAACCTTTCGATTTATCGATTTTTAGCCCTTTTAAATTAAGCTTACCGCTAAAAAATCGGGTTCCAAGCTTTATTTACTTGCTTAACAATGGTAAAAAACGTTAATTTTTAACGGCTTATGCTTACGCACAATTACAAGCTTTTATTGTTTTTAATATAAAAGCGGGGTAACGGGCGGCCGGTTTTTAGCTTTGCAATATAATTAAACCTTTTATAAACCGCTTCGTTTTTAACAATTCGAGCTTAAACATCCAACGATCCGGAATTTAACAATTTGCAAAGGATAACAAAATTAAATAACGTTTAACAATTTTTTCCCAAACATTTTAAATATTTTAAAAAACTTTTAAGCGATCGAAAAAATTAGCCATTTAAATTAGCTTTATTAAAGCCCGGATCTTTGCAAGTTTTACAATATAGCTATTTTTTAAAAAGTTATAAAAAGGTTACGAAATGCACGAATACAATATAATTACCGCTTAACAAAAAATTAAGCGGTTAAAAGCTTAATTAAAAGCATAAAAACTTCGCAAAAAAAAAGGGTAGCCTTTAATTTTAACGAAGCCTTTGTAAATATCCGCCAAATTGCTGCAACGAAAAGGGAAGATTTGGAAAAAGTAAATAAGGCGTTTAAAAGCCCGGACGATTTTAAAAAGGAATTAACTTTGTTTGCATCGAAGTGGCTTAAATAAAGGTAAAAATTTGCAATTAAATGTAATAGGTTTGGTGTTAATCGGATCCTTATAAAGTGTGCGGACAGGGGGTGCACTAACTTACCAAAGATGGCATCGGGTACCACTTTGTTGGCGGACTTCTTGCTTGAAGATCCTCGCATCGTTCGTTACGTGTATGCAAAGCTAAAGCTCAAGCGCTTTGGGGAGACTTGAAGGATTAGGAAGAAGGAGGAAATGTGAAACAAGGATAATATGCTGATGGGAAAGATGTGTGCGACGGAAGGAGAAGGTGAGAACGGCAGAGAAACGGTGGTGGCGAGGTAGAAAAGAATGAAGAAAAGAAGGGAAGAAACGGGCAGAAGAGACGGGCAGAAGAGATAGGCAGAAGAGATGGGGAGAAGAGCTCCTCAGCTACAGGTGGCCCTGCTTTAACGACTAGCGCCTCTGCACCCAAGCGAGGTGCGGGTTTTCCAGATCAAGGAAGCAAAGTAAAGGAGCCCATGGACCCAACAGCAGCTGGGTTCGGGAGGGCGCAGGCGGGCCCGGCCACCGCCATCAGGATCAGGGCCTTGGCCAGGTTAGGGTTGAAGGCAATAGCCCGAGCAAACAAAAGCAACGATGGCTTAAAAATGGCAGTCCGAACAGAAAGTGATGGAAGTGACGCAAGTAACGGGCAGGGTTGGGAATTTAGTTAGTTAGTTTAGTTACCCCCTTAATTAAAACTAACTAATTTAGTTACGGTAGTAACTAAAACTAAAAGTAACTAACCAATAACTAACTAAAGTAACTAAATTAGTTACTTTTAATCATTTAAATAAATATTTAAATTATTTAATTAAAGCTTATTTAATTAAATAAATAAATAAGCAAAAAAGTAAGTAAATAAATAAATAAGCTAGTAAATAAAAAGTAAATACATAAATAAATAAGTAAATAAGTAAGTAAAAAATTAAACATTAAAAATGTATTACCGTTGTTATTACCGTTGTTATTGCCGTTTTTATTGCTAATATTATTACTGCTTTTTTATTATTTTTATTATTGTTTTTATTACTATTTTTGTTGGTAAGAGTTTAGTACTCCTGTTGAACGGCTCGGAGATTTCCAAAGGTAATGAACAAATATTTCTGTAATTTGGGGAAAGGTCTTATATTGTGCATGCTTGTATTGAGCATAAAAAGGAAGAACTTCTAGCCCCGAAGAGGCGCCAAAGGTAGGGTTTATATACAGGGGTTGGGGGGCCGTGCCCCTTGGGCTTGGCTTTGGGGCCAAGCCACGGGCACAAGCCACGGGCCCAAGCCACGGGGCTTACAAAGGCCCAAGCCCTATAATTATATCCTCCTTTGGCCCAAAACAAGTGAATCCTTTCCCTTATTGCATGCGCCGGAATATCGATCCGACAAAATTAGTTACTTTAGTTAGTTAATTTTTTTTAGTTAGTTATTAGTTAGTTAAGCCAGTAACTAAGACTAACTAAACTAATTTAGTTACGACTAAAACTAATGACTAAGGATTAAATTCCCAACCCTGGTAACGGGAGCGGTTGGAGGTGATGTGGGCCGTGTCATTTTACGGATCCGGCCTTCGCTTCCGTTGATACACCCGCACCGACCGTGGGGGCCGACGAGTCTGGTTACATATCCGATTCAACAAGCCTGGGCCGGCAGGCAACTTGCAAGAGATCAATGGAAAAATACACAGCCGCTAGTCCTGATCCGGCAGCGTCCACACCCGGCTCAAACATCTCGTTGTTATTCTCTGCCCACTTGCATTCCAGCTCGGAGCGAGATCACTTTATCTGCCTCAAGTCCCTCTCTTTTTCCAGTACCAACCCAGATCCCCGCCGTTCCTCTTCCTTCATGCCCGCCCGGCTCTCTCTCCCTCATCTTTCCAAACGCTCCCGCAAAAGCTGCCAGCCCACCCCAACCCTACCTGCAAACCTCCCCCACAACGGCCATCCGCTCCACGCAAGACTCCCTGCTCTCTTTTCCGCCTCTATTCAACATGTCTTTCTCGGGCCCTGTCGTCGCTGGCATCAGCCTGGGCTCTGCCATCCTCGCAGCCATCATCGCCGCCTGCGTCGTTTTCGTCATAGTCCGCACCCACTACGTGACCACTATTGATTGGCTGAACGGCAGAGGAGCCCGTGGTTTCCGGCCATCCCCTCATTCCCAGGAAACAGCCGCCTTGTGTGTGGCTAACATAGAGGCCATCTTCGTCGACGGTCTCATCACCGCCCACCTTCCAAGCATGGTGACCAGTCTCAAATGCGCCATCTCCAGACTTGTCCTCATGTACAACGTAAGATACTGCGACGTCAACCTTTCCGACACGTCGCTCTTCGATGCTGTGGCCGGTCCGCACCAAGACTGGGGCATTATCCTCAACAAGAATAACGACAGCAGGCGCCAGGAGGCCGCAGTTCAGCACCTTGTTGCCCGCATCCTGCACTCGCGTATGACGCCCGAGGGAGACGCCGCCACCACCCTGCTCCCTCCCGACATCTTTTCAGTCTACCAGAAGATGATGGCCCGGGGCCCCAGCCGCCTCTCGGACAGGTACCCCGGGGAATGCGCCTGGGAGTCCGAGACCTTCGCCGGCGTCATGCGTCACGCCTGGCGGGCAGTGAGCTGCCATTTCACGACCAACCCCCCTCCCTATTCATAGAGCAACAAGCCAAAAATGAAGCTCTCGACGACGGCGACCCGCGCATGAAGAACATCCTCGCCACCGAGCAGCTCCTAAAGGATGTCCTAGGCCACTTCAGCCTGCGCTTCTCAGAGGATCACGGAGATCTCAACGGGCGCCTTCGTGACGTCACGTGGACTGCTGCCAGACTCGCCTTCCTCGCGTTCTCCTCGGCCAGGCCGGTGGAGCTGTTCTGGCCCGCCAGCGGCCGCCCCGAGACAAACGCCCCCAACAACGACGAGCTTATCCTGATCTGCTTCGGCGTGCGAATCCGCAACCGCATCCCGGGCGCGCAGATGATCAAGGAGGGCAGGCGACTGGAAATGGAAGATCTGTTCTGGGAGACTCTGATGCATCCCGAGGATCACGAGGCTGAAAAGAGAAAGCGCGATGTGGATACGAGACTCGATAAGGCAAAGGAGCGTCGGGGTGGCAGCCTCTGGGCCACCAGGGCCCACGAGGGCCTCAATAGCCTTGTTCCTGGGTCCTCAGCCCGCGCTCATCCATATGGGCTGTGACGTTTCAAGGTGGTGGTGCGCGTGGTGTGTGTGTGTGTGTGTGTGTTTGGGTATGCCTGCTTTTTTCGGTCTTTCTTTTCTTCCCTTCGATTCTTTCCTTCCTCATGGCGTCTTGTCGCCATGGCGTATCCTTTTTGTGTCTTGTTCTCCTACCGCACCATTGTCTTTGTCATTGTGTTTTTTCATTTCCCGTAATCGCCTTTCCGTTTCGTGGTGTTTTAATGCTGTCTGCTTCTGCTTGGTGTGGGGGACCCTGGTAAGCAGCTCCACCTGGAGGAAACTTCAACTTATGGTGGTTTAGTGCGCAATTCCTTCCCGTTCTCGTTCTCGCTCTCTCGTTGGCCTGTAATCTGGAAAGTGGTGTTCTGCCCGCCGGGTTTGGCGGCTTTCCCAATTCGGGTTAGCGCCGAATTTCAACCTCCGCGCCCCACACTGGCTCGGGCAGCAAAATAAAAAAAGCGCTGCTCCCACGACGTTCTTTTTCTGTACTTTCGATTTTACAATCTCATTCCTGTTTTGCTTTTAACCTGTAAATTTTTGCAACTTTGCTTTTATATTACCCACTTTTTTATTTATTTTTACTTTACCTTTAAACGCTTTTTTTTAAGCTTTTTCCATTTATTTTTGTTGCTTTTTTTTAATTATTTTCCGCTTTTTTTTGCTTTAATAATACTTAGCTTAATTATTATTTTTTAAATTTTTTTTATTTTACCTTTATTTTTATAAATTATTAGCTTTAAATAATAATCGAGCTTTTTTTCCATTATAACGCTAATTGTTGCCGTTTTTTTACAAGCCATTTGCTTTGTAAACCTTACTTTTTTTTCGTTCGTAGCGATTCCGTCCGTATGCGCAACGCTTTCCCTTTAATTATTTTTAGCAATTTTTCCGAAATGCCCAAAATATTTTGCTTAATTGTTTTTAGCGATTTTTTCGGTATATTTAACGCTTTTTTAATTAAAAATGCCTTATGCTATTTAAATGTGTTAAAATGGGTATACCGGAATTTTAGCTTTATTCGTTTTATTGGTTAAATCGAACCGATTAAAATACAATTATTAATGCAAAATGTAAAAACCAAATTAGGAATTAAACCGTAAAAAAGGTTAAAGTTTTTACCAAAAATTGTTTATACGTTAACTTTAACAAAACGAAAAACCAAATAAAGTAAAAGTAAGCAAATTTGCTTTTTTTTCGTCCGTAAATTTGTTGCTAATATCCGAATGGCGTGTAAAATAAAGCAAAGCAAAAGGAAAATAACGTGGCTTTTTACGGTTTTTAAAAAGCCGGCAATAACAATTATTCAATAAAAGCAACGGTAAAGCAAATACAAGCTTTTAAAATTGTTAAAAAGCAAAATTATAGCACAACAAAAGGGCGAAAGCGCAAATATCCAATGCAATGCAAGTAAACTTTAAATTATATATATTACTTTTACTATAAGCATAATATTTTAAAATATAAATATTGCTACCATTTTTTTACCAAAATACATAAAAAAATTACCGCAAACATAACTTTTTCTTAATTTTAAATAAATTACGCAAAGCTTTTTTAATTTATTACAATTTTATTGTTACATTTTCAAACTTAATTTTAGCCTTTATTTTAAAAAAATTTATCCAGCCATATACGCCCAATCGTTTACCAACAATCCCATATTTTTAATTAATTACTTTTTTTTTGCTAAATTTATAATAACAATGGGAATAAAGCGACCAGCATTTAGTACGCACCGCTACAAGCTTTTGGGCGCGTTTTTTAAGCGCTTAACCCAGCAATAAAAGCTACCAGTAGCTACGGCCCGATTTTTGGTTAATTTAAGCTTGTTAAAAAAACCGGGCGGCGAACCCGCCAAAATCGAAGCGAACCTTTTTAATGGCATAATGTTAAAAGCACGGGCGAAACCGCCCGGCAAAAAAAAAAGAAAGGGGCGCTGGCAGCTAACCGGGCACAAACCCTTTCAGTAACGTGCCAGCGAATTACCGATATTGCGGCCGAAGTACAACGGCAAAGCTAAAAAATAAAATAAATTTTAAATTGTACGAAAGCGCTTGGAGCGCAAAGCATTTATAAAACCGACCCCGCGTGCTTTAAAAAGGCGCGAAAAAAGGGGAAATTAAACAAAAAACAATTTTATAGCACGATAACACTTTTAAAAAAAAAATTACGAAAGCTTAACAAAAAAATACCGCATTTAGCCCGTAATTTGGTAATTACCCGCTTTTGCATAAATTAACCTTTAATATATTATTCCTTTTTTTTCCTTTTTTATTTAAGGAATAAGCCCGGGTAATTACCGAAAAAAATTAAGCAAATTTGTAAAAATTATTTGCAATTTTGCATCGCTTACAATAACGCTTAAGGTTACGTTAAATACGTTGGAAAAGGTTATTAAGTTACTGGAACAAAATATTAAGGAAATTTTGCAAATTTCCAACAATTTCGAAAACTTTTCCGTAAAGGAATTGCAAAAAATAAATAACGCGTTGGAAGCCCAAAGCAAACGCGCCCGCTTAATCCGGAAAATCCAAAACAAAAGGTTAAAATACGCGCATAACGGCTTTAACAAAAATAAAAAAAATACTTTTAAGCAACGGAAAGGTTTTACGTAAAACAAAGTTACTTTTAAACCATTAATGCTTAAAAAATCCGCAACGTAACAAAATATCGCTTATAACATTAACAATTACAAATTTATTTTCGAAAGCAAAAAGGGGCGTTATGGTAAAAACCGTATAAAGGTTTAAATAATTTCCAATACTTTTAACCATTAACGGCGGGCATAATAAACGAAATACAAACAAATGCATTATACGAATATTTAATTACCGCCTATTTAAGCCGATTTTTTGCGGTAATTCCAAGCGGAATCGAAAAATCCCAATTTGCAAATGTAACAAGCAATTAAAAAGTTTGCGGGAAATATTGTTATTAAATAAAAAAATACAAATTGTTTAAAGCATTTCGGATTTGCTAAAATTTGGTAAAAAATACTTTTTCGAATTAGCATTTAAATAAATAAAAACGATATTGCTTTTTAACCGTTTTCGCCTTGAAATTTAAAAATGGGTAACGTTTAAAAACCTTTTTTATATTATAGAAAATTTGCAAACAAAAGCTTTTAAAGCAAAAATAATATTAAAATAACCCAAAAAAACGCCGGGAAATACAAATGTTCCAATTATTAAAAAGCCGGTTACTTATTACAAATGCGGGCAATTAAGCTACATTACCGCGGCATGCAAAATACGAATAAACAACGCGAAAACCCCAACGGCCTTAACGCTTACCCAAAAAAGGCCCGGTTAAAGAAAAAAAGGGAAAAAGCCAAAGGTACGGTGTTATAAATATGGGGAATTGGGCTATATTCGGCTGGCGTGCTTTAAAAAAAGCAAAATATCGCTATTTAATTCGATACCGTTATTTAGCCGTTTGGGCACCGGAGCTTAAAAATACGCCCCGGCGGTTAAAATGCGCTAAAAAACCAAAATGTATTTACGAATTAACGGTTGCCGGGTAAAATTAAAAGCATTGGTTAACAATGGGAGCAACGTTAATTTAATGCATAACAATTTGCTAATGGAAGCAAAAAAAATACCGGTGCTAAACGGGGGCTATTTAGCGTAATTTGATACCAAAAAGCGCATATTTACATAAAAAAGGAAAAAATGCAAAATTTAAATAACGGATAACTAAAAAATAACCCGGAAATTAATGGTATTTTATATAATTATATTTTAAAAGCCGCAAAAAAAAAACCGCTTTTGCTTCCCCAACTTCGCAACGGGAAAACGCCATTAAATATAGCAAATTTAACATCAAATTCAAACTTTTCGCTTCCGGTTCGCCACCGAACGTATGTTCGCGCGCGAGCGCGCTTACGGCGCGGCTGCTGGCAGCGTTAGCAACCCCGAAAGCGGCGGAGCGGTTACCAACCGCCCCAAAGCTAGCAATAATACCACTATAACCAATGCCCCTAACCTTTTCCCAATGCGCACCCGCATTGCAAATTTAAAAAATTAATTAATCGAAATATTAAAGCTTTTCGTGCCTTTCGGTAGCACCGAATTAATATTTAAAATTGTGGAAAAATAAACCAAAACCGTAATAAACGCGCTCGAAACGCGGTTTTGCAACCATTGCAACCATATGCCCAACCATTTTTGCACTATAAAAAACGAAATTATCGTTAAAATACGCAACGCTCGCAAGCAAACCATTAGCTACGTTTTGGTTTTAGCAATTGGTTTGCCGCAAAGCGGTTAAACCGGCAATTACCCGCTTACAATCCGCTTTTACGCATTTTTTAATACCGGCCCCCCCCCCCCGAAATATATTTTTGCGCGTACCAAACGCGAAATTACCATTTTAATTAAAAACGCTTTTTTTAAAATCGCAAACCGCATACCCGTTAAAATTACTATTACATTAATTAAAAAGTTTAGCAATAACGTAAAAGCAACGCGCAAGTTTTCCAACGGTAACGTAATAATTTTATTTTATATAACCGCCGTTAAATATACGAAAAATACCGCGTAAATTATTAAAATATTCGGTAGCAAAGCAATATACCAAACCCAAATTTATAACGTTATAATTAAAAACATTTAATAAAACGCAACCAATAATAATAACATTTTATTGCATAAATTTAAAGCGCATAATATCGGGGCCGAAATTAATTTTATCCATGTATAAAACGCCCGGCAATCGGAAAAATACGCTACGGTATTGGTTAAAATTACATTCCCCGCCGTAGCTTAAACCGTATGCAATAACGGCTTTGTATTTAAAAGCGAAATCCTTAACGTCGAACCGTTTGCAACGGAAACAAAAGCCGTTTAATGCTATAAATGCTATAAATGGGGATATAAATCGAAGTTTTGCAAAAAAGCGGCCCGTTACCCGCATTGCGCCAGGCCGTTGCATAGCAACGGCAAAACCGGGGAACTTTTGTACTTGTTGTACAAAAATTAATTTATTGCAAAAAAAAGCAA